GTCCCCGTTTGGGCGCAGTCAGAAAACGGGGACTTATGTTTTGACCTCTGTGTGTCTGTGCGTGCGTGCGTGTGTCTGTGCGTGCGTCTGTGCGTGCGTCTGTGCGTCGTCCGGACCTGTATCTTAAAAATGCCTGGACCAATCACAATCCAACTTCACACATACATCATACATGATATTATACATATGCACGTCAATTTGTTTGCTCGATCTGATTCAAGATGGCCGAATGGCGGCCATGTTTGTGCTAAAAATCATCAAAATCAAGCATTTTTCGGCTGTTTACAGATGGATTTTGTTCAAACTTAGTGTATACATTAAACATTATGGGACGTTGATGCAAATAATTTAGTTTTTCAGATTAGATTCAAAATGTCTGTCTGGCGGCCATTTTGTTTTAATGAATGGGCTTCTAGAGCCATATCTTCGACTTGTTTTGACCGATTATGTTCAAATTTTAAATATTCATTATACATCATGTCATAGGTAGACAGATATATTGGTTTGACGATCCTATTCAAAATGGCTAAATGATCATTTTTGTGCTAAAAAATCATCAAATATCAAGCATTTCTGGCATTTATGGATGGATTTCATTCAAACTTGGTACATACATTAGACATTACAGGTTCCTGATGCACATCATTTTATTTGTCAGATCAGATTCAAAATGGCTGTCTGGCGGCCATTTTGTTTTAATGAATGAGTTTCCAGACCCATATGTCTGACTTGTTTTGACTGATTCTGTTCAAATTTTTAATATTCATTATACATCATGTCATAGATATACGAATATATTCGTTTGACGATCCTTTTCAAAGTGGCCAAATGGTGGCTATTTTTGTGCTAAAAATATCCTCAAATATCAAGCATTTCTTGCATTTATGGATGGATTTTGTTCATACGTATAACTTACATTAGACATTACAGGTTCCTGATGCATGTCATTTTATTTTTCAGATTGGATTCAAAATGGTTGACTGGTGGCCATTTTGTTTTAATGATTGGGCTTCTAGAGACATATCTCTTAAATGCTTTGACTGATTATATTCAAATTTTATATATTAGTTATACATCATGTTATATATATACAT